GTCCAGGACCCCCCCCCCTGTCCAGCCCCCATCCAGTACCCTGCTCCTGCCCCTTGGCCAGACACCCACCAACACCCTGTTCCTGCCACCTCTCTCCTGGGCAGACACCTACCCCCAGATTGCTCCTGTACCCTACTTTCCACCCAGATTCTGCACCCCCATCCCTCTCACTGGCAGCCCTGTCCTGCACACTGCATCCCTCATTTTTGGCCCCTAATTAAGAGTGCAGACGGGCCCACAAAATCCACTAACCCTGGAACCCCAGAAGGATTAATTTGGCCTGAGGCCTTGAACCTCAGTCCTACCAACTCTCCCCACTATTTGAAGGGGTTGTTTTTTTGCATCTCACCTGTATGGTCCCCAACTGATTTTTTTCATGGGTCAGTGGCCCCTGGCCCAAAACAGGTTCCCCAACTCTCCCATAAATAAGACATTGCTGAAACATTTTCTGTTGGACATAATATTTTATTTAAAAATGAAGTCTGGCCAACAAGCCCCCAATTGGGGCCAAACTCCCATCTGGCTGCAGCATCATAACACTCCTGCACCCTACAGAGACCCCAACCCTGAACTCTTCATACTCCTGAACCCCCTGCCCTGAGCTCCTCACATCCTCAAACTCCTGCACCCCGTATCCCCAGTCTAGTGCCACAACACTCCCACAAATCTGTGCTCTGAGTCCATCATACACCATGCCCTCCCTGCCGAGTCCTTCTTGCACCCCAGACCAAACTCTGCACCCACACATCCACAAGTCTGCAGCTTGCTCAGCACCCTAACCCTCCACCTGACCCCAACACTGTCCAGCCTGGAGCCTCTTCCCTGAGCCAGCAGCCCCTTCTCCACCTCCTCCTGAACCCAAATTCCCTCCCAGAGCATGCACCTCTCACCCCCTCCTACACATCAAATCCCTCATTCCCACCCCAGAGCCTGCACTTCCTGTCTCAACCCAGCAAGAGTGACTAAAGGAGGGGACAGAAAATGATGGGAGAGGGGAACAGAGAGGAAAGGGCCTTAAGGAAGAGGTGGGGTCTTAGGGAAGGGATGGGGGGAGATCTTGACTTGCCCTGACATTTAAAAAGTGATCTTGGGTGTAAACAGGTTAAAGACTACTGAACTACAGTGAACCCTCGCTACTTCGCGGTTCGACTATCGCGGATTCACGACTTCGCGGACTTTTTTCATTACATTATGTATATACGTGAATCCGCGAT